GCAACAAGCAACATGAACAAGAATCACTTTTTTGCCCACTATTTAACTAACAATCTGGAATAAAAAAGATGCAATGTTTAAGTCTTTGGCCCTCAGAATGGTCTAACTGCTCACCATGTATCAAATCCCCCGTTCCAGCTGCCAGCAGCAGCCGCAGTTTAACCCTCCCTTGTTGCTTCATTGACTCACCAATCTATCTGAACAATGAACTCGATTGAGATCTCACTGGGTGTCCCGTACCGACAGCTGCTGTTTTAAAATTCTGAACCTAGTAACCATGACTACAATGCCGCAATGACTAATGCCTCATAATGCATACAGTATTCATGGCTGGAAATGTAGTCAAACTGGATGTGATGGAACTTTTAGAATATACTTTTTAACATGATTACTCAACATGTGCCTTTGAAAAAGACAGTGTGCTTGAAAATCATTCTCATTTTTTCCATGGTGTTCACATGCACTGAGGCTGGAAATTAGAATTTCCATGATTAAAATGAATCATGCCTAATGTTTGTTTGGGAAGCTTCACATTCGTTAGGCTTAACATTTCCCTCAACTGATGGAAAGGTTTTTGTGTAAACTAAGAAAGTAAAGAGGAAAGAGTGGAGTAGTACAGGAAAGAAACTACATTGGAGGAGTAGTGTACTCCTATTGGTTAAGCATCTGGGGTGTCTAACACACAAAAATGTAAGCGCAGTTCTTCATTGAGGCACCTTAAAAAATGAAGAGTAATAGTAACTAGATTGAAAAGTTTGTAGACAAACTTTAAATTGGCTTGAAAAAGCCTAGCTAGAAAGTTTTAGAAAGTTTTAAAAGCTTGCAGTCTGAAAGTTTTTAGTTTGAAGTAGTTTGAAACTTAAAATAGTTTTAAAGATTAAAGTTTGAATGTTTTCAAGGCAATACAGTCTATCAGAAAAACAGATATAAGACATAAATAAGTATATATATATATAAGATAAGACAGGTATAAAACATATTGCTAGGGTACCTGGGGTGGTTGCTAGGCTGTTTCTAGCATGATTAGCATGTTTCTAGCATGATTAGCATGTTGCTAGCACAATTAGCATGTTACTAGCATGTTGCTAGCATGATTAGCATGTTACTAGCATGTTGCTAGCATGGTTAGCATTTTGCTAGCACGATTAGCAAGTTACTAGCATGTTTCTAGCATGATTAGCATGTTACTAACATGTTGTTACCATAATTAGCAAGTTACTAACATGTTGTTAACATGATTCTGGCATGATTAGCATTTTACTAGCATGGTGTTAACATTTTGTTAGCATGATTAGCAAGTTACTAGCATGTTTATAACATGATTAGCATGTTACTAGCATGTTTCTAACATGATTAGCATGTTGTTAGCATGATTAGCATGTTACTAGCATGGTGTTAACATTTTGTTAGCATGATTAACAAGTTACTAGCATGTTCTTAGCATGATTAGCATGTTACAAGCATGTTGTTAACATGATTAGCAAGTTACTCGCATGTTGCTAGCATGATTAGCATGTTACTAGCATGATGCTAGCATGTTTAACAAGTTGCTAGCATGTTTCTAGCATGATTAGCATGTTACTAGCATGTTGTTAGCATGATTCTAGAATGATTAACAAGTTACTAGCATGTTGTTAGCATGATTAGCAAGTTAATAGCATTTTGTTAGCATGATTCTAGCACGATTAGCATGTTACTAACATGATTCTAGCATGATTAACACGTTACTAGCACGTTTATCAAGTTGCTAACATGTTTCTATTCTAGCATGGTTAGCATGTTACTAGCATGATGTTAGCATTTGTCTAGCATGTTTAACAAGTTGCTAGCATGTTTCTAGCATGATTAGCACGTTACAAGCACGTTTCCAGCATGATTAGCATGTTACTAGAATGTTGTTAGCATGATTAACAAGTTACTAGCATTTTGCTAGCATGTTTCTAGCATGATTAGCAAGTTACTAGCATGTTGATAGCATGTTTCTATGCTAATCCAGCTAAAACCAGTTGATTCAGTAAAAAAAAAAACAGCTAAAAAACAGCTAAGACCAGCCTGGCCTGCTAATAAAATGGCCAAACCCACTTTAAAACAAGCTTGGGAGACCAGCCAAAGCAGTCAATCAGCTTAGGCTGGTTTTAGCTGTTTTTTCAGTAGGGAGTTGTTAAGCTTTGCTATAGCAGTAGACAGCTTAAATACACCATAAATCTTATTGTATAAAAGTTTCGAAGAAAAAGAAGAAGTTTAAATCGGATTTCAGTAAGTTGGCTTTTTCAAGCCAACTTAATAATACTGGTGCTATTGAACCAGATGAGCAAGCAAGATTTATCGAAAACATTACAGTGTAAGGAACATCATGAATATAGCTCTATACATATACACTGCCTGGCCAAAGAAATAAAATAAAATAAAAAAAGTCGCTATCTGGATTCAAACAAGCAAATATGTAAGATTTTAAGAATGAATCATTATTCCAGTAATTAATATGTTTCTTGCATGTTATATAGGGTATTTGCCAACCATTCTTTTGTCAATTTACGGTTTGTCACTGTAAATTATACAATGACTTTTTCTTTTTCACTTCTAAAAACCCTATTTTTAACAGTATTTTACTGTAAAATTACATTAAATGTAATTACATTTATTCACCGAATATAGTATGGAAATTACTGTTAACCAGTTAACAGGTTTTTACTGTAGCATTTTTACAGTATTTTACTGTTAAAATCACAATCATTTTTTACAGTGTAACTAATACAGTGTGTAGCTTGGAAGACATCCCCATGTCCATTTCCCAGGATGACAATGCCAAGATTCACCAGGCTCAAATTGTGAGAGATTGGCCACCACAGTCCTGACCTCAACCCCATTGAAAGCCTTTGGGGTGTGCAGCGTGTGCTGGAGTACTTTACACTGCCTGTCCAAAAAAAATAAATTAAAAAAAATACAAAAAATTTGCACACTAATATTTAATTGGACTGTCTTTAGCTTCGATTATATTGTGCATTTGTTGTGGCAATGTTTTGACAATGTCAATTATGACAATTGTCACAAACTTCGACAATTATATAACATGCCAGACACATGTTACTCACTACAATAATGATCCAATAAACTTGTAATTTCTTATTTCCTAATATTTGCTTGTTTAAATCCAATTAGTGACTTTTTTTTCTTTTTGGCCAGGCAGCGTAATTTATTATTCTTTTTTTTTATATATATATACGGTATTACTTTTTTGTATTCATCATAATTAGAATAAGATGCTTTTTGAAGACAAAATGTTCTCAAACTAAAATTACACCAGCTCATATGGTTCAGTAAGGAATGTTGCCATTTCCTTGTGTTTTGTCTAAAACTGATAGGCATCCCTTTCTTGTCTGTGGCAAGCAAACCAAAAACATAAAAATTTCCGGCTTGAACATCCTAGAGCACAATTAATTCAAGTGATGCAAGATTGTTTCTTAAGGAAAGTAAGGAAAAAGTTACCAAGGATGTGCTGCATTGCTGAATTATTAAAAATTAGAGTAGAGGCCTTGGAATGCCATATTTAATTAAAATATTTAATATAACCAAAACAATGCTGTGAGGGATTGACATACAGTGGTTTGAATGGGTCACACATCTTTTGTAAAAAAAAAAAAATTCCCAGTGGGCACACACCTCTGGAAATTATAGGTTGTGAAAATCAGATGCAGCCTTAGGACCATAAGACAGTACAACCCATTGTACAGACTATTAATGTACCCCTCAAAAACTCATTGTACTTTGTATAAAAACTGAAAAATGCCATCTACCATAAATAAGGGCCACTGCTGCACATTTCAGAACCCATTAGAGATGTTGTTTCTTTTTTTGACGGCAGAGGGGGCTGTTCTTGTTAACTCCCTCTTCCAACTAGAACTTCTGCTGACAGTTCATTTTATTTTTAATTTGGGCTCCTTAGCACAGCATGTACTGTAGCTGGGTTTTCTTACATGTTTATTTGCATTTACTATACCTGATACAAAGAAATAATATGATTTAACAGTACTTTCACCATAAATGTCAGATTACATAACCCTTATAGATTATCAATCAAACTCAATCTTGGCCAGATAAAAGTATGCACTTCCACTATATTCTCACAACAGAGGAACAAACCAAGCTTCAGGATGTAAGGTATTTTAGAATCTCACAGGTAGTAGATATTCAATAGCTTTCTGAACATAGTTGTACCTTGGGATTTGTCATTTTCCCACAGTCATGAATAAATGCCCCATGCATTAAGAAAATGCTAATGGTTGAAACATTTTACATTCATTGCCAAAGAATCTAACTTGGACAAACTTAATCAGAGTCACCAGCCTAGAATGAATATGTTTTTCTGGATGTAATAAAGTCATGTGGTAGATGCTTTTCCCTTATTGGTCAGACAAAAGCAATAACTTTTCAAACTTGCTTTGAATAGCAATAGTGTAAACAATTATTTGGTAGAAAATCAATTACAATGGATGAACCACTGAATTTGAACCGCTACTGAGGGGTCTCTAAAATGAACAGTTATGTGGAATTCTGCAAATCCTCTGTTCACACACACAGAAGAATATGAATAGCATGGACAAATGGACTAAGATGTTTGTTCATGACAAAAATGTATTATCAGACTCAAAGAGCAAACGCAACACTACATTATAAAATAAACTAAGGAGAGGAGTATCAGTGAAATGTTTGTTTAATGATAAATCTAAATAAACTAAACCAACTGCACTACCTGGAATTAAAAGAAAATGCACTTCCTCTTTAGTGGTAATCAGTGTAAACAACTTGCAATGCAGGCAGATAGCCTATAGTGGGAAAACATGTTGTTAGTGGAGAAAGCTTTTGTGATGCATATATAAAACTTGAAGTATGCTATTCAAACTAACTTGGCACCCAGTCTTGAAAACTGTGACCATCACGCTGAATTAAGCTGTAATTTAGCTCTGTGTATTGTCCAGCTTTTGCTGCAGCTACTTTACAAGATTAAATCAGATGTTGTTTTAAAGAGAACTCTGAGGTGGGGTTTAAATATTTCAGTGGCCCTTCCCAACCCCACAGTTAATTGGACATGTGATAAACACAGCAGTTGCCTGAAATTGGTCAGCTGAAATCCCACTGGACTACCACAGGCTGCTGAATCAAGTCCAGGTAAACATTTTTACTACATACTTGTTTTTAGGCTATATAATGTCAAGACCAAAGAAGAGGGCCTGTGTCTACTTTTTAGGTGTGAAATTATTAAACGTTTTGTAATTTGTATAGTGTCGATGATTTTGCAACATTCCTCTAAATCCTTAAACCTCTCTTCCTTGAAGCAAAGCTTGCCATCGCTGTGCATCAGTTAGTCTTCTCCTATATATGAATGAAGTAACATGCCTAGAGGGCTGCCGCGTTACTTTTTATTGCTTAACAATCCACCAGTTTTCCGTTATATAAAGACCTTAAGGGCCAGCAGTAGGATATAAGAGCTTACGCACAGATGTTGAGTGGAATGGAAGATATGAACCAATTTCAATAAATAAACAAATACTAATTTTAGTTTTTACAGTGTTACAAAATTCATTTACAGCACCTCTAAATTAATTTCCCTAAAAGTCTCTGAAGTAATTTCACTCTGTTCAAATGTAAAGTAAGAAATATTATTCTGCAATGCTGTGGATAATAATAGACTTTTTCCACATTTTGTGTGTTTGAAACTGCGTTTTGTAGGCTATGCAATGTCAACAACCCCAACCCTTTCCTTTAGCAGAATGGCAAATCAGGTGTAAAGACTTCTTGTTGCTTTAATATCATTAAATATATTGGAAAGACAATGAACCTTAAAACAGTATACTTTAACTTGTTAAAGCACTGCTGATTAGTTGCCCTTTTGCAGTTGAAAAGGAAATAGTGAATCTTTTAATAAACATTGTATGACTGTGTCTTTATAATTCAGCATTAAGAGGGGAAGATAGACACATTTTTCAGATAATGATGTCATGGGATTTGACCAAAGGAACTTAAATAAGAGCTAAAAAATCATTTTAGCAGCTCATCAACAGCTAGTCACACGGCTCTCTACATGACTATTCCAGTGTTTAAAAAACAAATTAAATTACTGATTCTAACTGGCTGATGTGTGTATACCATTAAACAAACTGATGTTGTTTTCTTTTTTGGAGAAAACATCCCTTTATCTGCAGATAGACAATGGCTGACACTTTTTGACCACCCACAATTTGCATAGTAGTCTTAAAGATAAAGCAGTAAAAACCCGACATGTTTGGTAACAAAGTGGCACTGTGATTTGTTTCACAGGCTTCCTCATTCTACCGGATGAGATTTAAGATGATGCCCAGCAGCAGTTATGGGAAGAGTTTGGATCTCTCCAGGTTGACAGATGACGAAGCCAAGCATGTCTGGCAGGTGATCCAGAGAGATTTCCACCTGCGAAAGAAAGAAGAGAATAGACTAGGGTGAGACACTCTTGATCACATTTACATGGCATTAACTGTCACAACAAACGTTCCTAAATTGCAACCTAAAAAATTTTCATCTTATCGAAAAAGACTGATCACTGACATTTCTTGATGGTTCTGTCTGATTATTATCGGCCTCATCTGAACTATTGCTTACTCATATTGTCGATCTGGTAAAACTTAAGCGGTTTGCTGATTTGTGCGTACTAGAGGTCTTCAGTAGTCTACATCTGGGATTTATCATTTGACTGGAATGTCTGTCATTAATTTATACTGCTCGAAAATATGGATCTCAGGAACCGTTCCATGGCACTTAGCCTAATGTGAACCCATCTGATATAAATCTGAAATCATTTTCAGTGGATAACTTTTTCTGAAGAGAATTTCTTTAAGTAGGTTACTTTAATACAGACACTTTTTTGAAATAACCTTCAAATCACCAAAAGCATGTCTATAGGTGAATTGCTTATCTTAAGAACAGAGAAGGACATTCACAAAAATTTCACAAATAAACAAACTTTCACTAAAATTAAGTTAATTGGCAATTTTTTTTATTTATCTCTTGGAAGGAATAGCTTAATGACTCAGCAAGCCACGAAAAGGTCTTGTGAATGCAGTACATTGTGGTTATATAATTATATCTTGTGTGCCTACTGTCTGAACCATAACCATCCGCTTTCTTTAATCCTTTAAGTAATTAGGTCATGGATGTGGCCCACAGTCATGCTTACAGACATGTGGTACTACTTGTTCACGCCACCTGCATGTCCTAGCACTGTCAAGTACTATCTTTGCATGTAGTGCTGAAGCAGAGAACCAAAATAAAACTCAAAATTATATAACAAAACAAACAAAAAACTATATCTTTCAAAAAGGTCTCCAGTATAATGGATAAATAAAATTATGTTAAGTAAAATTAAAAGTCGAAGCCTTCTTGTAGTTGCTAATATCTTTGATACTCAGTACAACTACAAAGTATCCGAAAAGATACTCAAGTACAGTAACTAATTACATTTACTCCAATACTTTACACCTCTGTGCTGAAGAAAAGTGCATGTAAAAATCAATTTCTGTAAGAGGGCTGATGCCTATTTCTGTGCTGTCTTTCATAAGTTGGATGAGTCTACTTTAAGTTGTTTGTTGTCTACTTTAAGTGTTTTCTTTAAGGTTTTTAGATACAATTGAAAGTTAGCTAACAAATACAAAACTGAGAAATGATAGAAGTTGGTATCTGTGTGTCAACATATGAACCCTAATTTAAAGTCCCTTACATACATCTTTCCTTTTTTCGCCAGATATTCTTTTTTTGTTTGTCTCACCAGAATTTTTATGCTTTGGCTCCTCAGACCCTTTATCAACAGGCTAAGCTCATGTATGTCTAAATTCCAGTCATTTTAAAGGAGGTAATAGGATTTGTCTCAGAATATTGAATAACATCACATGACTGACATTTTTCTCTTAATTCTCTCACAGTTGGAAGGAGGCTAGCTCAAAATAGTCCTCTGGAGACTTTGTTGTAATGTGGTGAGGATTTGTGATGATGATAAAAACAAAGAAGTTCTTGGAAATATGATGTGGTAATGTGATGTTACATTCACTTATGCATTGCAGACAGAACTTTAAACATTTAAACATGAAAATTTAAAAGGAACAAAAAAAACAAGTGCTATTGCGAGCAGGTGATCTGCAAGTAAGCCAAATGAATTGTCTAAAACAATTCAAACTTTAATAATAATTATGAATTATAAATACTATGTAGTCTACTACTGTTCTTGATACACTATGTTCAAACACTATGGCTTAATTAGATCAAACTCACATTCTCAAAACTAAGCGCATTGTTATGTTTATTGGTGAAATATGGGAGAAGATATTACTTAAAGTTAAAAAATACACATTTGAACATTATAAATTTGTAAGAGATTTTCCCTAATCCTCTCAAAATTCATATGTCCTTTATGAATTGATTATGCTGTAATGCGAGATATATCAGTCACACTTGGACTTATGCTGGGGTGCTTTCAACCTTTGCCAAATAAAAGTTGAAAGAGCCACAGGCACACAACCATTCAACATGAGGAGGAAAGCTCTTAGCAGTTTTTTTTTTTTTTTCTTGAGAAGAGCAGATTTAGCAGTAATGACTTATATATCCTGTTTTAAATGCTACACAGCTGTGACACAGAGGGGTCATTGTGCTAGAAGGCCATCACTTGGGCCATAAAGCTTGAGAAATTGGCACATTAAGAATGGAGGATTTTGAGAAAAGAAGGAAGACCATGGAACAGAATATGGAGTCATTTCCTCACTCTATTATGCTGACTTGTGCTGATGATCCAAAGCAATCTGGGCCCAGTTGTTTGAAAAGAAATTTGATCAGATTTCAGCCATCAGACTGGATCAATACTTGTAAATGAGTTGTTCAAAAAATGGATTTCTTTCACTAACTTTCAAATTACGTGCAAACTTTCATTATGTGTTGTTCTAACTTTGTAGTAAGACTATAGCATAGGCTACCTTTCATCCAAAAGTACAGAAAAGATTTCAACAGAAAGTAAAAAATAAATAAATAAAATAAAAGATTTATAATATAATACCCCAAACAGCTGTAAATATCAAACAAAAATAATACATTAAATGTGATTGTCATTTATCATGGTATATTAATTAAAATGTCAAAAGTAGATTTTAACATTTGCATCCCATATAGTGTATGGATTTGATTGTTGCCTGTTTGTTTTGTTTTTTTCTTATACTGTGTTATAATGTCTATTAAATTAAATGTAGCCTATTTATTTATTTATTTGGAATTGTTAAACATGTGTGGCATTTATTGAATATTTTAGACAACTGTACTGAACATTTAAAAATAAAATAAGTTAAATTAATAGAAAGTCGTTATGGCCCTTTTTGGTCATTATGGGAACTTAATATCTCCTGGTCACTGAAAAACATGCATTATTCCAATGCGCCAAGATTATAACAAGGATTTTAGTTACTTAGCCTACTATGTAGTTGTTTTTCTCTGCTCCTGACTGACTTAGCCCGCCGATTCACAGATTGAGCGAATGTACAGATGATCGATAGATCAGTCAATCGATCGTTCACGGTAAATCCCATTTCCTACATCCCGTCCTCAGATAGCGTGCACCTGTGTCATATGACGCCATCAAACAGTGCCGCTAATAAATTCTTATTTGCATTGACCACTAGAGGGCTACGACCTTAAACTTTTAATTTGATTAGATTAGAAGCGCTACAATAAACGAAACCAAAAACCCGTTTAGGAGTGAAATCATTATTTATAAACTGGTAATAAATGTTATTATTTCGTTCCAATAATTTTTCATGAAACAAATAATTTTTCACAGTCAGCTTTCCACAATGTGAAAAATTATCCTGTCCAGCGCTGACGGTGGCATTCTCCACCTCGATAAAGCCAGTCATCCATATCCTAGTGTTTTCAATGTCAAACAATATTTCATGTTTGAAATATATATAAATAAATATAAATATATTTCATATTTCATGCCCACAGCTCTTGTTTTTTGCACATTACAAAAAAAAATAATCCGCATGCACGACTTTTTTTTATTATTTATTATTATTCATGCAGGGAACTCAAGACCAAAATAATGAAAGAGGACACCAAAAGAGAGCTGCTGGAATATCAGCCTAAACTCAGCGATTCTCTCTGCATCCGCTGTCTGCAGCCCTTCAAACTCCTTGTCAACAGCAAGCGCCAGTGTCTAGACTGCACGCTATTTGTCTGCAAGTCCTGCAGCCATTTTAACAAGAAGGACCGCGGTTGGGTTTGTGATCCATGCCACATGGCCAGGTGAGCACCTGACAGACACGTGAGTGGGATTTATATCTACATGACACATGTCAAAGGAACAACATACAGAGAAATTAAATAAAACACAAGCAGAACAAATTGCTGTGTAAGTAATACAGAAAAGGCTACTTGTTGTAAACTGTCAAATTCAATTCAATGGGACAATGTATGTAAGAATGGTTTCTAAACAATTTGGCTCATGTTTCATAAATAAGGCCCAAGTTTGAGACTGTTATTCCAATGCTTTGCATTGATGATTCATTTTCACCAGTTCTGCGTGCATTTAACTAAACCACAACCCTAAACAAAGGTCATTTCCTGCAAATAAACAGTTTGGAGGGAAAAAATCCTACTTTTCTCATGAGATCGGTCTGGATTGACTGAATAATAATATTGTTCTTCTTGTTTTTGTCTTTGTTGCTGTAGAATCCTTAAGATTGGCACTCTAGAATGGTTCCATGAGAATGTACGCTTACGCTTCAAGCGTTTTGGGAGTGCAAAGGTCATGAATTCACTTTTCAAGAGGCTGAACAGTGACCGTGCCAGCTCTCAAACTGACCTCAGAGGTAGACTTCAAAAGCCTGTTTAAATGAGCAAGAGTCATTCATCTCAAGTAGTCCACAGATGTAATGTTTTTAATTTGAGCATAATACACACTATACCCCTTAAAAAATTAGGACTGAGACTCGAATCCTTGCCAACCTACCCTAAAAATTGAACCATGAGCAATTTTGATCATTATATTTGGACAGACATTTTAAGTCTAAGGAACAAGAATGTGCAAAAATGTAATAAATATACATTTGTTATGGTTAAACTAAGTAAAATAAAAATTAAAAAAAACTGGCAGGTTTGCGATACCAATACATAAAGAATTAGGAAAATTAAAAACTATCCTCTGATTTTAAAAAGCATTCAGTTGGACTAGTTAGCAAACTGCATTCTGTTTGTTCATTTCTAACAGGAATTTTATCCATTTAGAAAGTCAGATAGTTATTAAGAAATGAGATTTGATTCTTACTGTGTCATCAGTTAATATAAAACAATTTTTGAAGCAATGTCTGACAGATGAATTACAGCAGGAACACTGAAGGCAGAGCTTAGAAGAGAGAGGCCCTCATAACTTTGAAGGATTTAGTGAGGGATCCAGAGGGAGTGAGGGAGAGAGAGAACTGGCTGGGCCAAATCATCCATGTGATTTACTCCTTTACACAGTCACATGTCTTATTTCTCTCTGTGCCTGGACCTGAGTGTCTCTTTTATCCAATTTTCAAGCCCTGTCTGTCCTAAATACAGAGGTCATTGAAGGAAAATTGTTGTTTGGGTCAAATGAGATGAACAATGTTCTGAACCAAAAAATTGCAAAAAGATGTTTTAATAATGTGCATAATATTTATCACAATATGAATAAATGCCAACAAACACCAACATGGTTGTTGGAATTGAAATTCCATTGAAATCTAGTGTTTTTTTTGTTGTTGTTTTTTTTTGAGGCAGTGTTAGCTTTAGTTGAAGCCACTGTTTAACCACTGTTCAACAGTGGTTGCCTCCTGCAACCAATCACAGCTTATTTTCTGTCTCTTGTCTTCTTATGTTTAACTTTTCATCTCTCGCTGTTCCTCCCTAACCCCCCATTTCCATTACATAGAGCCTCGAGATGATGACACGCACAGCATGCCTGAAGTTCACAGTAAGTAAAAAAAAAAAAAAAAAAGTCCTGTTCCTTTGTGATATAGACATTTTGAACGCTGATGTCATGCAAGAATCTAAAGTAATCAGTGAATGTCTTTCATCTGTCCAAACAATACAGCAGCCATCTGCTCTCACATGTTCTTTGATTTAATAAGGCAAGGAACATGAAGAACAAAATGTCTGTGGAAGAAAAACATCTAACATAGCCATGAAAAGAACTGAACATAGAAGCATTGCCTAAAACAGCTTTATAGTTATAAAAAGTATAATTTTTCATTAAATGTGGCATTTTCTTTACCAAAAAGAAAAATGTTACATTTTAAAATAGAAATATAAAATACAATTAAAATTCATTTATAATGTTTTTAATTTCAAATAATAGCTGTAAACAATACAGTTATGTAACTTCACGATTATACAGTAGCTAACACTGCTTTACTATAACTATACTGCATTTTTGCTGGAAAATTGTGTCATGGGGCAAAACAAATAAGTTATTAATTTATAATTTACAACCCGTTTTAAATAATGCTTTCAGGATTTAATTCGTCATTGTCAATATTGTAGCTAAATCTCATCTATGTTAGCTATAGCTAGATAATGGTAAACAACATATTTAAATAGTACTTTAGATTTGGACCCTGCTTATCTATCTGGCAGCTTCTACATTTGGAGCTATGAGAGAGAAAATTGTCGTAATTTTTAAAGACAGGTCCAAGAGAACACGTTTAAAACCTCCACTAAATCAAACACATCATTTTGAATTTATATTAGTTAAAATGTGTTCGAACAGTCAGACTCGGTAATCATTATTGCGTCTCTTGTCTGAGATCAAAGATTCATGTTTGTAACTCTTGTCATCCACACAGCTGGTTCTCTGTATAGCCAGGAAGATGAGCAGTCTGATCGGGTCGACAGACGACACTTCAGCCTGGTAATGTCCCTTAAAACGTCAGAAACTGATGTTATTAGGGTAAAGGGGAAACTAGAGGCTGGACCAGTGCATCAGTTTGTTAGCAGTTCTTTCAGTTAAACAGTAGTGTGAGATCGCCCTCTGGTGCTCAAATCTTATTTTAGTTTTAACAAATACATTTTGTTCAGTTAGGACTGGATTCTCCCTTGTTCTTATTATATGATTTTGATTCCTCACATTGCCACCTGGAGGTGGTTTTGAAAACCACAGAACGGCCCCTAGCCTGACTATTTTTAAGTCTCTTTTAAAAACTCACTTGTTTTCATTGGCCTATTAGGAATTATACTTTTTCCTATTGTATTTCCTATATGTGTTTTTTCTTTCTGGTTGCAGTTTTTGTATTCCTAATTTTATGATGTTGTTTCTTACTGTAAAGCACTTTGGTCAGTCTAGTGGCTGTTTTAAATGTGCTATATAAATAAAGTAAACTTGAAACCACATGAAAACAGACTATAATTTTAGTCAGAATACCAGCTTTAAGGCTATGCTCAATCCTTGTCTAAATCTGTCTGTGACTCAATCCCTGTTTAGTTTTATAGGCCTCAGAGTATACAGGAAAGAGAATAGAGAACAGGACTGGGGAATGAATTGAACCTGCATGAGCACATTTACTACCCACTTTGCTTTAAATTTTAAAACAGGGAGTGTTTGTTTCCCTCCTGTAAAAAATAAATAAATATATATATATATAATATTTTTTATTTATTTATTTATTTTTTTTACTTTACATTTATTTTTTATTATGAGAAAGTCAGTATGATATTTTATAGGTCAGCTACCTTTATTTAAAGTTATTAGATAGATAGATAGATAGATAGATAGATAGGTAGATAGATAGATAGATAGATAGATAGATAGATCACGGTTACTTTTTTATATTTGGGTTCTAGAGAATTAAAAATAAACATTTTCTTTCTCCTTTAAGATGAGAAAAGGCAGACGGCTACTCCCTGTTGATCCTCTTGATTTTAATCTAGGCGTTGAGAACTCTGCTTATTCTCGACCTCCCATACTTCTGGTTCGTATGTTTATGTTCTTACACATCTGATGTGAGAAATCAACAAATGTTGTAAACATTTCATATGGCAAACACTGAAATACTGAAGCGTGCAAAGAAACATTACCCCAAAAAGTTCCTTCAATGGAATTACCAGCTGCTTTGAATTTTAAATTGTCAGGACAAATGCATTAGATCGGCAATAAAGAATACACGGTTTGCAATGGTGTGAAAAATGTGGGGTTTATCTACCCAGTGTGCTAAACAAATGATGCAAAGTGCTCCCACTGAGCATTTTCTGACTGTTAACAGTGATAAGACTGTGTGTTGAAATCTTGATTGTTTTCTCACTGAAGCAAATAATCACAAAATTAGTCATGCCAGTGCTGTCATATCAGGGTTTGTTTCTTTTTGTTTTCAGTACAGATTGTTACTGAATTGGTATACTAGACAATAATTCGTTTTAATTAAAATATTCTGAAAGTTTTGTTAAAGCACATGATTTCAGGTATAAAGTCCATGCAATATGTGACATTTATTTATGTTTATTAATTTATTCCTTCCTTTTTAAAGTATTCAGGTAGCCAAGAGAAAGTAACCCAGAGTAAGGACTCAGTAACTGAAGACGACTGGTCCACAACCTTTAAGCAGATCCTGGAGAATGGAACTCATGGTAGAGGTGATGAGATGAAGGACATGTTGCAAATCAGCCAGAGAAGTCTGGACAGACCCTCCCATTTTGGTAAGATGTGCTGTCTGCTTCAATTTCCCTTACAGATTTCTGAGGATTTATATTTTTCCAAGACTCTGTAGAGGTGAATGGGTTTCCCCTTCAGGCCATCCCATGTTTTTTTCCTACTGTCAGCAAGATTTAGGCTACCTTGTGCTGGGAATATAAACCTAACACACTATAAACACAATAATCACTGTTAGAAACACTACAAAATAATTACACTAATCAAACTGAATTCCTGACTTGACTAAATCCATACCAGGCTATTTAGATAGACTCAGAAATTCCTCTTTATTTCATTTCGGTATTTGCATCATAAAATAACAGTCAGTGTTTTGTTTGCACTCTGTAGATGACTGCGCACCACATCTAGAACAGAGGATGACAAAATCTCGTTCCCTCTCCAAGATGAGCATCTCTTCAGCTGGCAGCTCTAACTATCACTTCCACCGTGAGCCTTCTTACAGCCTGGAAGACTCAGAGGAGGAGGATGAATCTGAGATGCACATCATATATAGTCCTGCCCCACATAGGGAGCACTCACCAGATGAGGTTCCTCCACAGGTAAAGTCAAAAAGTCATGACAAAACCTGTGGAAATTGTGACTTGTAAAACTGATAAAACTGCACTTCATTGCATCCTTTAAAAAGTTCATGCAACAAATACATTTTGTATCTCTCTGACACTAGATTATTGAGCTCAACAAGCGTATGTCAGCAGTCGAGACTCTTCTGAGCCGTTTGGAGCAGAAACTCATCTTGCCGGTAATTGGGGAATCAGCAGAACAAGTAAGTTTGAAGTAAATCTGGACAACCAGCAGGTTATTATTTTAGGTTTATAAATGAAATGCTTTAAATATGCTACTGTACAAAGGTTTGGGGTCTGTACGTTTTTGTTGTTGTTGAAAGAAATGTCTTATGCTCACCAAGATTGCATTTATTTGATCAAAAAATACAGTAAAAACTGTATAGTTGTGAAATATTATTCAGTGCCACGTGATCCTTCAGAAATCATTATAATACACCAATTTGGTGCTCAAGAAATATTTTTTATTATCAATGTTGAAAAAAGTTGTGCTGCCTCATTTCTTACAGGATTCATTAGAAATATTCAAAATTTTAGGATTCAATAGAAAAGTCAAAAGAACAGCATTTCTTTGAGAATGTTTATATAAGAATTTAAAAGTCTTTACTGTTTGATCAATTTAATGCATCTTTGCTGAATTAAAGTATTAATTTCTTCAAAAACGAAAACAACAACAACAAAAACTATCTTAGTGACCACAAACTTTTGAATGGTATATGAATGGTAATTTCACCCTGAAAAGGAGAAACATGTCATCAACATTTCTGGATAAGTCCATAAAATGTAAATTAGCATCTCTGAAACACTTCTATCAATAGGACATATCGCATGAAGACCCTCCTGACTTTAAATCCTCATGTAGTTCTTCTACTCTCCCTTTAGGTGGAGCAGAAAGAGGAGGATCTGTCTCCAGCTGATTTAGAGGAGCTTGAGCTCAGGAAAAAGCTTGATGAACTTACTGAAAAAATAAGTGACAAAGGCTCGTCTGATGAGGAGGATGCGATGAGACCTTCAGAGGACTCTCCAAAGAAAGGGGCAGTTTATCATGCTCCAGCTATGAGAGGAGCTTCAGCTGGACCTGGGAATGTCAGACACGAATGGCCTCTTGAGGTTGAGTGGGTAAGAGTATGGAAACAGTCAGAATCTAGCACTAAAAGTACTGTTAAACATAAAGTGTGAATATTTATTCATATTTCTTACAAATAGTTTAACAGTCGTTTGGTTTGAACACACTCTTCTGATCTTTCTAATTGTATACTTCAGAAAGGAAAGCCAAGCGTACCTAAATCCTTAAAAAAGCAGAAGAGGGTAAGGTCCTTTGAGTTTAGCAACACAACCAGCTGTGAGCTGTCGCAACTGGAGGGTAAAGTTGCAATGGCAGTGGCCAGCGTCCAGAGCACTCAAAGTGGGGTATGCCACTCAGTCTAAACATTAAAATTTACTCCACATTCCTTCTTCCAACAGAGTCGCAAATCTCCATATCTTGCCTTAACTGTTTGTTAACCATTGCTCTTTTCTTCATGTAAAGGTTACAGACATTCAGAAAAGAATCGCTGCTCTGAGTGCTGCAGGGATGATGGTGGAGACGTCCCGCAGACGGGTATGTAGCAACCCAGCTGCTCAGAGTCACATATTCCTGTTTGGTTTTCCAGAAACCTGGCTGTACTGAAACTTTGAGAAAAAAAAAAAATCTATTTTTGACACATTTTGAGCTAAATTCTGTTGCGTTTAAAACAGTATTTTGTGGCAAGTTCAGAAAGAGGCTAAATATAGTTTTCTGTTCTTCCCTTTTTCATTCAGACTCCTCAGCCATCAAGGACGTTGCATGAATTTCCCATTAGTAAGTGCAAAGCTGTATACTGTATATTCAGTAACATGTGATCTGTCATTTACATTTAACTCAATCATCTTTGTGTTGTATAAAAGCAATGAGCTAAGTTTGTTTTCCTGTTTTGCCACACAATTTTGTATAAATGTCTTTGCAATTATATAACAAAATATCAAACCAAAAACATTTATTTTAAGCAAAACATTTCACAAATGGCAGTTTTTCTGGTATCAGATTATAAAATAATAGACATATTGTTCAGAACTAAAACAAATAAGGATTGTTCCCAGATACACATCCCAATATTTGTAAACCACAATTAGACATTTAAACCTAGTTTTATTTCACGGTTCACAGTGATTTTAATGCATTAATCTGATAGGAATCAGATCCCTTGCTCAGCTTCTGGAACAAATCGACTACCCACATCCTTTGGTCATGAAAGGGCCTTGAATTGAATTGAATTGCTTAACAGGTTGCCTTTTCAGAAAGTCACCAAAAGCTGTTTACTACTTATAATGTTCTTTTTGCTTTCTCTGAAGGAGGCAGCAATGAAGCAAGATCTCTACGAAAGCTGGTCATGTGAAGCAACTTCAGCAAGCTAGCACACTTTCACTTATTTTTAGTAGGCCATGGTATACAAACTCACAGAACATTGACAGATTCACATAAGCATATTTCATATGTTAATAAATTCAGCTGCAAGGGTTTGTGGGACTCCCAGTTTAATAATATATGATTAATATTTGCTTTAATCTTTCATTAGATGAGTGTCAGATTATTCTGAAAAATGAGAGGCTCGCCTTGTAGCATTGCTGTTTCTTAGAATATAACATTTCTATTATGCACACAATAGAAATTGTTTGTCTACATTACACTTATTAACTGTTGTTGTTTTGATAAAAGCTCAATATTTATATTAAAATATAGTCAATATTTAATATCTTAATTCAGATTCCTATGTAGTTTCTTTGGTATATTTTATGAAATATTGTATCTGATATATTTTTCATATATTAAGTGGGTTTTTTTCTGCTAAATAAATATCTTAAACTACACAATTTTCTTTTCAGCACCTTGTCTTCAATGTCAGTGATGTATCAATGAATCAGTCAGCATTGATACATTATCCCGTTCTCCATATCCAAATGATCACATAATTTGCATATTTAGTGTAAGGATGTTTTTGAGTACATGCAAGCTGTGCAGTCTTCACCCTCCCCCAGAGGGGGTATAAATTGGTGGATCAGTCTATCAGTGGAATCAGACGAGAATATCCTGAACCTCTGAAAACGACTCAAGATTCTCCGAAGTTTTCTTATACTCACAGCTATGACAAGACTGTAAGACTACAAATCCTCTGAAAAACTGCTTCCTTGAAGACACGTTTATGCTTCCTCTGCACTCAAGGATCATTTTAACTGACAGCTGAGGATCACAGAATAAGATACCAAGAGGTGAACAGCTTGCAACATCCTGTAAGTTTCAATATATTGTAATTTACAAAATATGGTGTAAGACTTTTACTCAAATATTTATTTCCAATTAAGAATCTTGTGAAATTAGCAGCCTCAAATTAACATTAAATTGCCAAAAAAAAACAGTAAAATAATGTTTAATTAGTATAATTTTTATGATTTGTATAAATGTGAACATAGAAACAAAAGTGGCAAGTGGAAAGCTTTTTTTTTTTTTATGAATATGCTTCCATTTGCCATTCATTCATTCTTTCTTTCTTACAGGTGACATTTCTCTGTCTAGTGACAGAAACAAAGCCATGGCTGTAAATCTGTGTGCTTTGCTCTGTATCCTTATGCTGTTAGCATGTTTTACGCAGCCAAAACCTCATGATGATCTACCATTACGCTCAATGGAGATAAGAGGTACAATTTTACTGAAAAACAAAAATGTAAAATTTAACACGCCTTTCAATTATGACTACAAAATATCAGATACCTAATACTTAATATTCATACCATTATTTTTCTGTAGATCCAAACATTGATGCAGTGTGGTATAAAGGCAGAGGAATACGACCTCTTGGGAGATTTGGCCGAAGAATGGCACAAAAAGGTGAAGGATCATATTTTGGAAGGCACAGGTTCTGCTATCCTGAGGTCCTGGCTGTGGACTGACAATTAACATAAATTGATCTGCATCTGTTCTGTGAGAACTTATTTCAATACCTCTTTAACTCCAATACATTTCATTTCAAAATTACGCACATTAATAAATGGGTCAAATCACTTTTCTTCTGTATTGAGACATCTGAGTGAAACAAATTAGTGAAAAAGAAAAAAAATGTAGTTGATTAGATGGAAGCAAATCTGGGACCCACTTTATATTAAGTGGCTTTAACAACTATGTACTTACATTTAAATTAATAATTTGGTACAATGCACTTATTGTGTACATACATGTTTTTACATTGTACTTATATTTTAAAAATACCTGCATGTAATTACATCTGTAATTAAATTCATAATTACACAGTTGAGCCATCCCTTACACCTTAACCCACCCTTAAACCTACCCATACCACCAAACCTGTCCCTAACCTTACCCGTATCCCACCTTAATAGCAGCAAAAGTGTTTTGCAATACAATATGAACACAATAAGTACATTGTACTTAATTTTTGATGTAAGTACATAGTAGTTAAGGCCACTTAATATAAAGTGGGGCCCAGATCTGAATGAAAAAAAACTGACAAATAATACCACAGGTCTCATCATTTATACTTTTATAATTTCAGTGTTTTAGAAACACAGGCTGGTGGAATGTTGAAAAAGAAACTGTCAGAATTCATTTAAACTATCATAATCTACAGCAAATGAGTAGTACAGTATGTAGAGCTTATGCAGCTTAGTTCTAATGTCATTCTTTAACCAACAAACCTGATAACACTGAAATGTTGGAAGTAGTTATCAGCAGCAGCTTTCTCAATTTGTTGTCACTGTAACTGGTACTATGACAAACAATAAATGCGATTAATCAAACCAAATGAGGTTAATTAAGAGGGGAATGGTCAGATGTAGATAGAATCTGCTTGAAGTTCTCAAAAGGCCATATGCATTTGAAAACTCCAGATGAATCCAAAAAGAGTCTTGGCAAAGGCAGTTCTTGTGGTCTGGAGATGTGCAAACGCACCTTCAGCGCATCCAGCAATGGGTCATGTCCGTTCACAAGCACCACTGAGCATTCCATAACAAATGTATACATTAGAACAGACTCTTAGAATCTGTAGAACTGACTTTAAGTGGTGGCCGAAAACAGACTTGAGGTAAGAACTCAAAATGCTCAGCGGTCCAAAGAACGTTTCTGGATCGCTTCTATAACAACGTTTTTGAGGAGGGCGATTACAGAACGAGGGTCATCAGTGCTCACCACAGCACTGCCCGATACGATCATGTTGGCTCCAGCCTAGAAATGTCGGAGAAATTAATAAAGATGAGTAAAACACTTCTTCAAATAATCTCTAATGAATATGTGTGCAGTAAAGGACAGCTATACCTCGGCACATCTGTGGATGCTGTCTGGACCGACTCCTCCATCCACTTCAATGTCCAGAGAAGGGAACTGACTCCTGAGCCAGCTCACCTGTGGACACACCAGCATCTTTAGTGTGTTGTCTGAGGAATCTAAATGAGACTAATAGATTGTACACTTGCGTACCTTTGGCATCATATCTTCCATAAACTTCTGACCACCAAAGCCAGGCTCTACAGTCATGACAAGAGCCATATCAATCTGTCCAGCCCATGGTGCCAATTCCTCAACAGTTGTTCCAGGTTTAATGGCAAGACCAACCTGCATCAAAAACATGCATGAAAAACATGCAAGACTTTTGCTACAATTTATACTATAAGCATTTCTAGGTAGTTCACAAATATAAGATTTTTATCAAAATAAGAGTTTGCCGACACCTCCTTTAAACCAGTAAAATTCCTTCTAATCTGCTCAAATGAAATTCTCACAAGTCTTAGCCTCAGTTTAATTTATGCAACTTATAACATGCATTCCGGGAAAAAAAATCCTTTGTTAGTCAGCAGAGGGCGCCATAAGGTCATAGCAGTCAAAGCCACAAAACATCTGCCTATAATATAAACAAAAATATGCTCAAAAAATAAATTAAATGAATAAAATAATTTAATTCTTATTTTTATATGATATGCTTTCTCTATATTTTACGTGCTTTACAATGCAAATTGGTAAGCGTGTTAATCATTATATATATATATACAAAATTGGCTGTTTTGCACAGACCTTCATGCCGCTCTCCCTGATTTCCTTGATGAGGTTGCCAGGGTTGGTCGTGGCTTCTAGATGGAAAGTGTACTGACTGGCTCCTGCTGCTGCCATAGGCTTCACCCATTGCTCTGGCCTGGATACCATCATATGCATGTCTGTAATAAGGCAAAGGGTAAGCAAAGCCTTCAAACCTACACAGAGCAAACACTGCAATGTTTTACTTATCTGGTTTATCCTAGACGCAATGTTTATTTAGGAATACAGAAAGAGAGTGAAAACATGAAAGAACCCACTGTGTCTACTTTAGCGGATTACTAACAAAACTGTCCCAAAGAAGAGGGCCAGATTATTTGCACCTCAAATGAAACAAATTAGAGTAGATGCAATTTTACAAGGACTAAACTCACCAAAAAATGGATCAGGTCCGATACTGTGTCGTAAACATTCCACCATAGGATGCCCAAATGTGATGTTCGGAACAAAATGCCTTAAGTAAATTTAAAGATGAAGGAAAGAGATTGAAGAAAGAAGAGTTAGATGTCTTCTGACACGCAACTCATCAACTTTTATCACCTCCTGTATATGTGGCACTTCAAATTAATATGGTACAAAATAGGGCCTGAACTCAAAATTAAATAGACACCATGCAGAATGGATAATGGAGTTGCAAAATGTATAGCCTAAATTAGTAGTCACAGAAGGGGCAAAGTAGTTTGGGACCAAAACTATATACTCTGTTCAGGGGTCTGTGTTTGGGGTCAGTAAGATTTTTGTTTTTTTGTGAAAAAGTAGTACTTTTGTTCAGCAAGGATGCATTAAATTGATTAAAAGTCACAGTAAAAACATTTATAATTCTACAAAATATTTTTATTTTAAATAAATGCTGTTCTTTTGAACTTTCTATTCATCAAATAATCACCCCTCACACCCCTTAAAAAATCCTGACAAAAATATTAAGCAGCACAACTGTTTTCAACATTGATAATAATAAGAAGAAGAGCACCAAATCAGCATATTAGAATGAATTCTAAAGAATCATGTGACACTGAAGTCTGGAGTAATGACTGCTGAAAATGCAGCGTTGCATCACATGGATACACAACATTTTAAATTGTAATAATATTTCACACACATACTGTGTTCTGTATTTTTTTATGCGGCCTTGGTGAACTTAAGAGACTTCTTTCAAAAACATTTTCAAAAACCGCAAAACCCAAACTTTTACATTGTAGCATATATACATTTCATACAATAATTTGGGAGAACAGTCTGAATGCTTGCTTGACTGATCCAGTCAACACTTAACTTTGTGTAAAATTTTTAAAAGGGAAATAAGATAATTGTCTCACTGCGGTGCCAAGCTGTGAATGACTTCTTGTAACATTCCTCAAAATTGTGACACAGCGTGGGTGAATTCATGTTGTATCATTCCTGTGCCAAAATGTGGGATAACTAAATGTTCTTGGTAAAAGACTTAATTATGGTATTGGTTCTCTGGGCCATATGATCTCTATGAATGCCTGCAGGTCAACAATGGGTGAGAAAATTAGATGAAGAATTGCAAACTTTATTCCTCACCCATCCATAACGTCAAGGTGCAAATAATCAGCACCGCACTCCATCATTCGCTCACATTCCCTCCCGAGCTG